ACACACACACACACACACACACACACACACACACACACACACACACAGGAAACCCAAACCAAAAGCATTTTACTAATCACATTTAGGTCGAAGTAACTTTTAGATTATAAATTGTTGTTATAAAAAGAAAAATAAATTTCCATCTTAGACAAAGGTCTGAAATAAAGCAAACACAAAAAAAAACAAAGGGTTTCAGCAATAATAATTAATAATAATAAGTAGAAAATGTGAATTCCTTACCAGGAGACCATATACTTTAACCCTGTAGTTCATTTTCATCAGGGCAAGCCTAGATCACACTGATTGTTTTGTGTGTACAGAAAAAGAAAATTTACCACTCACACATTCAGTCCTTTGGGTATGTGGCTTTAAATGCCCTGCGATACAAAACTCTTCGTCGTCTTTCAGACTGCATCGTACCTGGACTTTGTGGTGTTGGACTGAAACTCTGGAAACACAGGACTGTGTGGACTTTCCCTTTTTCTAGTCTCTGTGCTCGACTACCTGATCCCTGGTGAATATCAATTTGTAGAATTTTTTCCTCAGATGGCTAGTCTCATGGTATAATAGCAGTATGCAATTTGGTTATGAGACAATTATAGCCCACGCAATAAATATTATACTAAACCACACATCATAAGATTAAAAGAGAACTGACCTAACAATGCATAGCTCAGCTCTCTTTTTATTATTTTTAAATATTGGGGATTCCAAGAGGATTTTGTGGGGTTCTAGACAAAGTGTGCTATGTGCAGATTGCAATATGCCTAATCAGAGCCTAGCACATCTGCATTGTCACATGACAAATATTCAGATATAGTACATTCCATTGAGTAAAGAGCCCTAAGCTTTGTATATTGAGTATTCTTTAAGTTAAAGTTTGAGACGTGCGTCTCTAAATTTATAATTTTATTTTATTCTGATTAAAGAACTTACTAATGGAAAGTACTAAAGTTCCCATTTTATTTCTCCCTTTGTCTTAGTGATATGCCCTCTTAGTAGTGAAATTTTGACTCCAACCTTGTGAGAATTTTCTTTTCAATTAACAAGATTGTATTTTTTTTCATTGATCATATAACAGCCATATTCATTTGTCTGTAATACCATCTCATACAATTTTGGTATCAGTTTTTTTTTTTAATTTAGATTTAGTGATGATTATATGTATAGTAAAACAAATGAAGCCAAGTTCTTAAAGTAGTGACTTGTGTGTTGTATTAGGATTATCATTATGGTATAAAGGCATTACTTAATGAAAGTCTTTTAATCATACCATAAAAAGTCTTTTGAAAGATTTAAAGGGGGGAGATGATATTGCTGAAAGTAGGCTTTACTTAGTAGAGAAAATTTTGAAAAATTGATCTATTTCTGGCTAAAAATAGCAATGACATCCAAACAGGATTTATCAACTCATGTAAATTGAAACTGCACTTTACTGTTAAACAGTTTTTACTGATTATCTGTATTTTCTTCTTAGATATAATACTATTAATTTTCTACTTTGTATTCATAGAAAATGTATTGCCTTTTTACTGTGTATTGTCCTTAATGATATCTTTAAAATTTATTTTAACGTTTTCAAGCTCATGTGCCATTTTACCTTCTTACCACTTTTGCTTTTACTGTCTGGTTTGCCCTTCATTGGCTTGGCCTTCCCATACTGTGCCTCGTGATTTGAAGGCTACAGAAACTTGAGGAAAGCAATCGAGAAGAAAGAAGGTTGGAATATTTCCCAGGTTTTTTTTGTTTTTAAAATTAAAATGTCATTTGAATACTTAATTTCCATTTGCAAGAAAATGTGCTATAGAATTGTAGATTGCTTCCGACTAGATTAGCTGTGCGCTCCTTAAAGTAATGACTTTTATAAAAATAGCAGAAAAAAATTAGTTTAAGAATAAAGAACTCTGTATTTACTTGAATTAAAACGCAAGCAATTTCATTAATTTTCAGATAAACTGCCAGAAGTATGATGATTATTTAACCCCTTTTAGTAAAATTAAATAAACCTTCACTATCAGATTTATAAGTTTACAAAAACAAACAAAAAAAATCAGCATTTCCATATCTACAGGGAGCATGCAGCAGAGTTGGAGTTGTTAGCTGGGCAGTGATTGCCTTTTTCTTGTAGCAAATGCTAACCTATAGTGTAACAGCATCTCTCTTACATGAAAAGCTTTGTAGGAAACATTAAAACAGGAAAAGGGCAAAAGGAACTGTGGCCTTCCCATAGGTCAGACTGACCAGGAATTCTGAAATTCAAACTAGAAAAATGTTTTTAATTTTTCAAATGTATTTCAAGTGAGCATTGAAAGATGGAAAGCTCCCTTTTTTTCCCCTTAATACTTAGAAGCGAGTTGCTGATCTCAGTATCATGGAGCTTGACTGTGTATGATTATTTATTTAGATAAGTAAATGTTTGCTTGGGAGTAGGACCTTTCTTTTTAGAGTTTTTTGAACAAGTCACCAAATCATATCCAAACTGATTAAGAAGTTTCAAAACAAATGCTGTCATCCTAGAAGCTTTGCATTTGAGATCATGTATCATCTGTTACTTAAAGGTCAATTTAAAAAGTTGTGCTGGAGCTGTTGTGGTGGTGCATGCCTTTAACCCTAGTACTCCAGGAGGCAGAGGCAGGCAGATGTCTGTGAGATCGAGGCCAGCCTGTCTACAAAGTGAGTCCAGGACAGCCAACGCTACCCAGACAAACCCTGACTCGAAAAGCCCTCCTCCCCACCAAGAAAACATTAAAAAAAGAATGTTGTACTAAGTAGTTAAATGACTGATTTACTTTAAATGAATTAAATCATAAATTACTTTATAATAGTTTACCCTTAATTATACTCGATATACTATGTTGAGTGTAGTTTCTGAGCTTACATTCTATAATTTACAATGTTAAAAAGTATCCTGTAACTAGAATGTGATCCTAATTATCTGTCGCTCACACTGGAACTCACCTAAGTGTCATTAATTTAGGACAATGTATTTACCATCTGAACCAAAAAGTTACAAATACAGAATTTCTCATAGTTGGAAACCTCACAATACAATAAACCTTTAAATGTATGCGTGGAAACATGTTACTACATTAATCAGTTTCTTAAATGTACATATGGACTTAGTCTAAGGTGCTTCCGACTATGCATGATCACAGAGGACAGTAGCAGCAGGGCTACTACACAGCAGGACTGTGTCTCAGTCATGAGCACACATCTCTTTCAGTGAAATGAAGATCGGACTCAGGAGCACAGAGGTGGAGCCTGCCATTCTGTACTGACAAGCTCCTGGGGTGTGGGCGCTTCACTCTGAGAGTCAGGACATCTGCTCTTAGTCCCTTGTGTGGAAAGTATCTCAAGGCCACAGTTTCCTTTTTTATTTGCCAGATGAAAAGGTTAATTGTTTATGTTCCTTCCAGTTCCCATGATCCTGATTTTGTGTAAAGTATAAATTTAATTAAAAAAAATGATTCATTGTTCTTTAGGTAGCTATTCAGAGTATCAATTTGTTAACCTTTATCAAAGAAAAATTGAGTCTTTGAGATAAAGCATTTATTAGTATCACCTTTAAAGCTTCAGCTTTAACAGTAATTCTCAGAAGCATATTAGAATATACCTATGGTGCTGTTTTCTGTGTCAGAATGCAAGGAGAATTTATGATTGGAGATATAAGTCAATGACAACATTCATTAGGCTGGGTATTAGCTACTTGTGTGTTAGTCAAGCATTCATAATAAAGATGGGTGGCCATATTCCTAAGAAAAAGGGACTTTAGATGATACGGAAATATAAGAACCAACTATAGTGGAGATAATACACTACACTAGTCGTGAGTGAGAAAGGGGGCAGCATGACGAGGAGGAGACCTAATGGGAAATGTGTGTCCCTTTCCCTCACACATCCTTTTCGTGCATTAAATCTTGGGTCTCAGTTTCTGGTACAGTAGTTTTTAGTATGTATTACTGGCCTTTGAAAATGATTGGGCTTGTTATACTAGTTCACCCTGAATAGTTCCTAGCTTTCTTCTAGTTTTTTTTCCTCTAATACAATGATTTAATGACATTCATGAAAATCATTTGCAGTTTATTTGACTCCAGTTATGACTATTTTACTGCCATTCTTACTGGCTTTTACTTCTCGTTCCAAAGGCCATACTGTCCTCTCTGTGTCTTTATAATGTATCAAACCGTACTTTTCCATTCTAACTTAATTGGTATGTGAGATACACAGGACTACTCAAACACAGCTGTTCACGTAATTCACAGGGATTGACTTATTTAATAAACAGTAGCATAATTTATTATGTGCAGGCCCTGGGTAAATGAATGATAAGTCATATACATATGATTCTTATTCTCAAGAGACTTTTAGTTCAGTGAGAATGACAGCAAATAAATAATCACATTAACAAACAAAAACTGGAAAGCACTTAGGAGGAAGATATATTCGTATTGTTCTGAGTATAAAACTACATATAAGAATAAAGACCTGGAGTTAAATGTTATAGTTAAATAATAATAACAGGGCCCAAATGAGGTCAAATTACTTATTTTATAACCTAGAAATAAGTATCAACAAGGAAGCTTTTTAATGTGGCAGACATGGAAACAGTGGCTATCATAATGCTCTTTCTAGGGGGATTTTGTTTGGAAATATTGCCTTAACTTGAATATTCTTTTTAACCTTCATGATTTTAAAATTCCACTACAACACAAACCCTATGGATTATTTAAGATTTGCTGTATTAACACTATTTTTCTTAAATGTATGAGTCTAGTGAGCTAAAGTGTATCTTCTGTGCATGCTTAGTGGATGCAAGGAAAGATCAGAGTGATTTGGGTATGCAGAAAGTTCACTCACTGTAGTCATTTACCTTTACTTGAGACTACCAGAGCTAACTGAATTTAGCCATGACCATTGTGTAATTATATCTGTAGGCATCTCTGAAGAGAAAGGCTTCAGTTTTTATGGTGACACTTGTGGTAGAACCTGGAATTTCTGATTCAGTAAGAGGGCAGCCTAAACTTTAGACAGTTTTGGAAATCAAAGACCCACTCTGAGAGAACATGAGAAACCAGTCTATGCTGTGAAAAGACCCCAGAAATGATGGACACGGCCCATACAGGCAAACTCCCTGTGGGCAGAATGATTTGGAACCTTTCCAATTATTAGACTATGAGAATCATTGTATCACTTTCTGTTTATGTGAAAAAAGTTTTCATGAATTCAGACAGGGAGCCCAAACTTCCTGTGTGAGTTTCTGTTACATTTAAGTTGTAGTGCGTTGCAGTTTAGCTGCTTCTGTGTGGTAGCTTAGCTGTCTCAGCAGATCCAACACTTCGCTCTATGACCTGGTATCAGTATTACTAGAAGAAAAGCTTCCTTCAGTGATGTAGTTACTACATTGTTGGTCAAGTAGTGAGATCTGGTTTTCTGTACTCATCAGACAGGGAAGCATTGCTTAGTTAAGTGATTAACCCTTTCCTTTTGTTTTTTACAAATTGTCGATGTTTTAAAAAAAAATCTGAGGAAAAAAAGTAAAGACTTTCTCTTTGCACTTATCTCATATTTTTCTTTTTTTCTTTTTTTTAAAGTGTGGCTGGGAAAGAGGATAATACAGACACCGACCAGGAGAAGAAAGAAGAAAAGGGTGTCTCAGAAAAAGAAAACAATGAATTAGAAATGGTAAGAATGGGAGAATAAACTTAGAAATTGTAGTCACTAACTTATATGAACAAAAAGGAAGTGGTTATTACACCCATGGTTTCCTCTTTCCTTGAAGACTTTTCTTCAGAATTGTGAACTGTGAAGTCCTGGCAAGTCTCAGGGTGGTGCTTTGTGAGAATTGTGTGTGTGCGTGCAGATAGGGTGCCATGAGAGATGAAGAAGTCTTTAAGGCAAAGTTATTGCTTAATAACCTTAGTAGTGATTTTGAACTAAAGAAAAGCTAAATCCAGTGTCTGGGGAGGTGGCTTAGCGGGCAGAAGCACTTTCCATGGGTGAGAATGAGGACTTCCTCAGATCCCTGGTATCTCTGTCAAAGCTGGTCACGGCCTGTAACTCAAGGTGGGGAGTCTGGACAGATCGAACCTGGGAGTTCGCTGGCTGCCAGCATAACCAAAACAGAGATTTCAGATTCAGTGGCAGGCCCTGTGGAAAGTTATAGAGGAGGACACTGGACATCCTGCCCTGGCATCTGCGCTTCTAATCCTTAGTGCACACACCACACAGGGGCAGGCACACACATGTGCACATTCATACACACACACACTCACACACACACACACTCACACTTGATAGACTCGTATACTCTAGTGTCTCTTACTGAGGTGGTCAGTTCGCTTGCCAGTACTGTGCTATTAATAGTCACAAATCACATTTCAGGAAGAGAATCAAGAAGTAAGTGACCATGAGGATGAGGAAGAAGAGGAGGACGAGGAAGATGAGGAAGAGGATGACATTGAAGGAGGAGATAGCTCTGACGAATCAGATTCCGAATCAGATGAAAAAGGTACCTGCCCCTTAGCATGAAGGCAGAAAAATCCTGATCATAAGCTGCTCAGGTGTTGGTGGGAAACTCAACATTTCCTATTTTATCCCCAGTGAAGGCAATTTTTCCCGACTTGTAAGACCACCCTAGACTCATGCATGCTCTAGGCAGAAGAGACGTTCCTTTCTGTACTAGATTTATTCACAGTGTGGTTTCCACATTTCTTTAGTGTATGACGCAGCATCTGCTATTGGCCTCTGTGAACAGTCTGTCTTTTTAGACTATGATATGCCCGGGAAATTTCCCACAAAGCTGCTGAATGTAGATAATGGCTTTGCAGTCTCGCTTGGTGCAATGATTATCTTTTGGCCTTCTTTTGGTCTTTTTATCTTCCGCGAATAGCTAACTATCAAGCCGACTTAGCAAATATCACGTGTGAAATTGCAATTAAGCAGAAGCTGATTGATGAACTAGAAAACAGCCAGAGACGGCTGCAGACGCTGAAAAGGCAGTATGAGGAGAAGTTGATGATGCTGCAGCATAAGATCCGGGACACACAGCTGGAGAGGGACCAGGTGCTCCAGAACTTAGGTGGGTCCTCTGTGGTGTCTTCAGTCTAAAAGCTTAGTGATCGTTAAATGTTTCACATAGATAATAAAACAGAAATGAGCCAAAACCTCCAAGGGAGCTCAGACATCCTTGAGTCCTGGGAACTGAGTGTTTGTTCTGAGTCTGCAAAAGAAATTCTGTGTCCCACAGAAACAACGCATTTGGGGCTGGAGAGATGGCTCAGTGGTAAAGAGCACTGTCTGCTCTTCTTGAGTCTTGAGTTCAATTCCCAGCAATCACGTGCTGGCTCACAACCAGCTGGAATGGGATCTGAGGATGCCCTCTTCTGGCATGCAGATTAGGCACTCATAAACAAAATAAATTTAAAAAACAAAACAAACACCAAAAGCAGAAACAATGCGCTTATGCCCTTATGTGCACCCAGGCTCGGTGGAGTCATACTCAGAGGAAAAGGCCAAGAAGGTCAAGTGCGAATATGAAAAGAAGCTCCACGCCATGAACAAAGAGCTTCAGCGACTTCAGACAGCCCAGAAGGAGCATGCCAGGCTGCTGAGAAACCAGTCTCAGTATGAAAAGCAGCTGAAGAAGCTGCAGCAGGATGTCGTGGAAATGAAGAAAACAAAGGTGTGGACACTGCTCTAACTCATCTTGGATGGCTTCAGGCTTTATATCTTGGAATTGAACTATCACTGTGGTTATTTCCTGAGCCCATAAAATAATAACTCACAGTATTTACCGCCATCTTAAGATACAGACAGATGTTTGGCTTCCAGTATGTGTCTCTCTGATTGTACTCTCATTCACCTAAGAGGCAACATCTAGAGTTGGGTATATATCATTTTCTTGCCTGGAGAAGCACAAAGCCAAAGAGACCATGTGAACGCTTGTATCAGTTTTTCATAAATTATCATAAATTTTGTACCAAAATCAAGGCAGTCTCCCTGAAATTACCATAGGGAGATGATGAAAGAAGTGAGTAAATTATGTTGTGTAGTTGCCATACTTACTAGGTTCGTTGCCTGTACCAGGCTCTGGTATCAGCACCTGCAGGTATCATTTAATTTTCACAATCTGCAAGGGCATTGCAGATGAGAGAGTCAAAGAGTGCAGAGGCTGTCTCACATATTCAGGCTCACATAGGCACTGATAATAAATATAAAAAATGTATTAGGAATATAATCCAGAACCGCTAACTGACAAAAATACGCAGTGGACGCCGTGTGCTTCCGTGTGAAGTATTGGGAACAAAAAACCTCCCATTTGTGTAATTTACTGACCATGTACCTGGTGGAGTAAGTTCAATAATGTATATACCTAACCTTAGGTTCGCCTCATGAAACAAATGAAAGAAGAACAAGAGAAAGCGAGACTGACGGAATCTCGAAGAAACAGGGAAATTGCTCAGCTGAAAAAGGATCAACGCAAAAGAGACGTGAGTAGAGTCTCCCTGGTGTGTGAGAGTACTCTGCATTGTACAGTTTTATAAACGGAGGGAAGATTTCTAGCTGTAGCGAAGTATAGGCTGAGGAAAACAAATAGGCGTTAGCTAGACAAAATGACATTCATTGTTATATGCAGATTGCAGCAATTCACTACAAAGGGTTAGGGCGGATTCATCGCAAGGGGTGCGTGCAAGGATGCTGTTTCAGTATGTGTCCTTGCTTGCTGTATAACAACATCTCTATGATGGACACAAGGTTGCTAACCCAGATTATGTTAAGAACTCATATTTTCTGGCAGTGAGACAAAGTGTTTTAGCCTAAGAGGAGGGCATACTATGCTTCATTTGGCTGTTTATAACATATTTAATCTCATTTTACAGCATCAACTTAGACTTCTAGAAGCCCAGAAAAGAAATCAAGAAGTAGTTCTACGACGCAAAACTGAAGAGGTACAGTACACAAGTTTTGGGGGAAGCATTTGAAGGGAACATTTTGGCTTTGGGATAAATGATGTATTTCTTTCTTTCTTACTTTGTGGTGCTAGGGGTTAAGCCTAGAGCTTTACGTGTGATAGACAATCCCTCTACCTCTCTACCCAACCCCTGTAATGGGCATTCCTACAGAGATCAGATCAACCATTGTTGCTGTTTCAGGTCACAGCTCTCCGTCGGCAAGTGAGGCCAATGTCTGATAAAGTAGCCGGGAAAGTCACGCGGAAACTGAGCTCATCTGAAAGCCCTGTTCAGGACACAGGTTCTGGTGCGGCTGCAGGGGAAGCAGATGCATCAAGGGCAGGCACCCAGCAGAAAATGAGAATTCCTGTGGCAAGGGTCCAGGCGTTACCAACACCTACGACAAACGGAACCAGGTCCTGCTGATTCTGCATGTCCACACTGAGTGTTACATAAATGAAACAGGTCTTGTTATTGGTTGTGAACAATAAAATAAAGGCACAAGTAATCGTTTTTATCCTTGCAAATGGTTACAGGAAAATATATCAGAGGAAAGGATTAACTGGCCGGGTGTTCATTTCCAAGACCGCCCGCATGAAGTGGCAGCTGCTTGAGCGCCGCGTGACTGACATTATCATGCAGAAGATGACCATTTCCAACATGGAGGCCGACATGAACAGACTCCTTAGGGTATGGGAAACTGAAACTAGACATGCCCTCCTTTGCCAGACCGTTAGCCTTACTCTTCCGCAAGCATTGAGCACCTTCTATGGCGTCATTTTGTCTTGATTGTTTTTTGTACGGGTAAATGAAAATCATTTCTTAAACTCCAATATATATATATATTTTTTCATAGCAACGGGAAGAACTCACAAAAAGGCGAGAGAAACTTTCAAAAAGGAGAGAGAAGATAGTCAAGGAGAGTGGAGAGGGAGATAAAAATGTGGTGAACATCAGTGAGGAGATGGAGTCCCTGACTGCGAATATCGATTACATCAATGATAGTATTGCTGACTGTCAAGCTAACATCATGCAGATGGAGGAAGCAAAGGTGTGTACCTTAAAAGACAGTTTTTCCTGTTTTTGTTTCTTTTTGAGAGACGGTCTCTAGCCCTGGCTGTCCTCAGACTCTGTGTGTGTACATAAGAATGACCTTCAGTTTCTGATCCTCCTGCCTCTACATCCCAGATGCTACAAGTATGACTTTATATATGCTTAGGATCTTAAAGATATTTAATAGCTTAAGGATAAGAACTTCTGTATTGTATGTCTTTAAGAGCACTTTGAATTTTTATATGAAGGTCTTTTTCTATGCATTTTTAATGCATTTTAATCTGATTCTTAGGTTTTATACATATAATAGATACCGTCTTCTCTCTGAGTTTTTCTACTGATCTTGTGAGATTCTTTATTATTTCACACATGGTTTTTTATTATATGTGTAATTTATTATATCTTGCCTTGAATTTTTAACTACTTAGGTGTGTCTATGTTCGACTAGATCACGTTTCTTAGTGTGGGATTCGTGTTATATTTTTCTGAGCAGCTTCATTGACTTATCCGGTACTGTGAAGTAAAATTAATAGCCTTTTGCCTTCTGTTTAAATATGTCCAGACTAAAGTAATGGTTGTTACACACCTGTCTGATGCAGGAAGAAGGGGAGACCCTGGATGTCACTGCTGTCATTAATGCCTGCACACTTACGGAAGCTCGGTACTTGCTAGATCACTTCTTGTCAATGGGCATCAACAAGGTGAGACTTGACTCCCCTCTTCTTAAAAGTTTAAGTTTTGACCAATTCGATTTTGCATGTCTCTCTCCAGTAACCCTCCTCTTAGTAAAAAGAAATGAAATTCTTAACTGAAAAAAAAAGTTACAAAAAATGCTATAAACATCTATATCAGATTTACTGGCTCTGTTATGCTTATATATTAGAGTAAATAAACAAAGAAGAAATAAAGCCCATTTTGTCTTAATAAATGATTCTCAAGGAAACAGGTTTTGTATCACAGTTGGTTTGCTACTAATTCTGTACAAGTCAAAAGAAAATCAGAGAGAAAAAAATACAGTTGCAGCACCCTTCCGTTTTGAATGTAAGCCTGACTTGTCACCTGTAGAACACACACTCCCTTTTGTTGAAGGCGGTGACAGCTGAGTCACTTGCTACTCACGCTGGACAAATCATCGTTACCGTGTGCCGTGATCCATAACACTCCACACACAGGAACTGAGTGTCTGCAGGGTAATGAGATCTTGGACAGGGAAACTTTCTCTGAGATCTCTGAGCAGAGCAAGTAGAGGGGCCGGTTTGCATTAAGGTCTGTCTGATGTCAAAGTCCAAGCATTAAGTGTGTTCTCATAGTGGGCCCTGTTTTCTAAGATGTAAGACAGTTTGCTCTTGTGGTCATTGTTTCAGGGTCTTCAGGCTGCCCAGAAAGAAGCTCAGATTAAAGTACTTGAAGGTCGACTCAAGCAGACAGAAATCACCAGTGCTACACAGAATCAACTCTTATTTCATATGTTAAAAGAGAAAGCGGAGTTGAACCCGGAGCTGGATGCTTTGCTAGGCCATGCATTGCAAGGTAATTTGGATTACATTTTACTTAGACGAGTTGCATGGTAGCTTTGCTCTTTGGACGTCGTATCTATATATCCTTCCTTTATGGCTTGTTTGAATAGATGCTATACTCACTTATGCTTTTAATAAATATTCTCTCTTTAATTTGCATGTGTATGAAAAACTGGGAGAAGTACTTACCGTCATTCAAAGAAATATCACCAACTTAAGGCCATTTAACCGTATTAAATCATTGATTTTATGAATAAAGGAGACTAGGAATTTTAAATTGTTTCTAAATTGGTTAAGTTACTTAAAAGATTAACCAATTTTCATTACATTTCCGCTGCATCCCTAACTGTGCTAAAATGCATTTGCAAGTGTTTGTTATGGCATCTATTCGGTATACCTAAACATCAGTACATAATCTAGTGCTATGTGAGAGTTTTAAACTTTGGCTTTGTTTTGATTGGAGTATTGCTTTTTGTTTCCTCCTGCTGTTGTCTATCCAGATCTAGATAGCGCCCCACAAGGTGAGTATGCTTTCTGTGTACCCAACAGCTGCATGAGTCACTAATTGTCCTGTGCACTAATTGTGGTACATATTTGAAAATGTTTATTAGTAGCCACTGTTTTTGCATGATAAAAAAAAAACACTAAATCTTTTATGTTAAACATTCTTGATTTTGAAATTCTTAGATGTGTAAAAGAGGTGTGCTTGAGCTAATAGTCATTTGAGTTCAGTTGTGGAATTTCATAAGTTCTCTGAGTTCTTTCTCTTTCTTGAAGGAAAACATGGAATATATGTTCTTTTTTAATTTTTAAATATATCTGTTATCTTTCATCCACTGTTTTTACCTCATAAATTTCTTTTATATATATTCTCATCTAGTCCTTCTAAAAATAAGATTAGGGATATATATTTTATATATTGAGTAAAATGCAAGGACTTTATTTGAACATACTATATCATGTTTATAATCATAAACATCATATTTTCAGCCTAAAAGAGGCTATGGAGATCATTGAACATGGAAGTTTTAGCCTTTTTCTTTTTTCTGTCTTCTATATGAACCATTCTCATTGGTCATATCTTTTCCTACTCTTAGTGATAATGTGTGTAGAACCAGGAGACTGGAGGAATTTTATTATTAGTGATAGATAAGAGTGCTAAATTTGGAACAAGTTTGTTTAATTAAAGTTATACAAATGTGATCACAACTTTTTTTTCCCCAATTATACACCTCTTCAAAGTTTTCTGAATGCTTATTGGTAAAGAAGAGGAAAATAACTGAAAAATTAAATGTAGTAACCCCTCTCTGTCATTAAGACTAAACACAGTATGTGAATCTTCACTTTTTGAAATGATAAGCACTGATACATATAAAATACAGGATCAATTTGATTCGTATATCACATGTTACCGTGAAGACAGTGATTCTGTGAGATCAGCCGTGGTGCATATGTAACATGTATGTGAGGCTATTTGAAGCTACTTGTCGAGCTATGACGAGGAGGAATAACAGACTATTAGGAACAATTAGGTCTGATTAAAAGACACCATGTCCTATGGAGGACATGTCAAGCACACGTGTTTCCTTTCCTCCATTCCCATCCCCAGCCTTGTTTCTTCCTTTTCTGTCTCCTTTTCCCCACTTCCTCCTCTTCTGTTTCCTTCTTGTTTTGGCTTTGTTCTGTTCCTGCCTTTTCTTGTAGTCCTCTGCTCCTCCCCCTTCCACTTCTTTCTCTTCATTTTCTGCTTTCTGTTTCTTCATTGTCCTTGTTCATCTTCCTTCTTTCTGTTCTTTGTAGTGTCTCAGCTTAACACATGTTCCATGGCCTAGAAGGGAAATTATTAAATGACATTTTGTGTAGATAAATATCAGACTGCTTATTTGACGAATAGTATTAAATTTTACAGTGTTCTGCTTATAGAAGCAGAGAGCGCAAATGCTGTCAGTCGACAGAACCTGTCACCCAGGGCAGAATTTTCCTAGAGTTTTGGGCTACAGTCTAAGTAAGAGAAAGTGGAGGCGAGGCAGCGGAGGACAAAAGAAATGGATATTCAACTGGAAAGCTAGACAGTCATAGATAATGTATCTACATAAACTGTGCTCAGCTTTCTAATTTTACCCTAAACATTGAGGCTGAGAACTGGACCGAGAGGTGGTTGCCACACTAATCTTTTTCTCATGACGCTCCGTTGAGGGTCACAGACCATGAAAAGCGCATCGCAGTGCAGTGAGGGCGGAGAATGGAGTAAATGCGAACGAAGCGTGTGAGAGTACAGGTTAGAACGACCCAAAGAGTGCCAGCATTGGTAAAGACTGTCTGGAGGGTGTGGAATTTGAGCTATCAGATTAAAACAAAAAGAAGTTGAGGGGTTCACACAGCTAAGGAGAGGGGAGAGACAGCTGACCAGCAAGTCAGTGCTCTGGAGAAACAAGTATGTGGTTGATAATGATGAAACTTAAGGTTGGAGGCTAAGCTGGGGCCACCACCCCTATACTTAAGATCTTAAAACTTTTGAGGGATATTTTTGTTTTTTCCTTGTTAACACTACCTCTACTGGAGGCACCCAAGACCCAAGAATTCTACTATACCTGTATCTCTACTATGGATTAGCTAGGAGCCTCTAGGATCCTGCATAGAGTTGTATTTATGGTTAATATTTATTGAGAAAAGAATGATATGAATATACAGTTGTAGTATCAGGAAAAAGACACAGATGAGCCTATAGGAGTTCACGTTCGAGCTTCCTTTGTTTGCTCCCAGCCATGAGAGATCATATGAATGCAGGCCAAGGGACAAAAGCACAGCAGTTCGCATGAGGGAAATCTGTTAGACAGTTGTCACCACCCAAGGCTATTATTGGGACCAAGGGTCATATGCATATATGCTTAATAGGTACCAGGTTCGAGGCCCCCGTAAAGAAAACATGCAGTCAGCATCAGTCATATGCTTGCATCTAGACCTACTGAGCATTCCTTATTTTGTTGTTTGTTGTTGGCCAGGGATATCTGAGTTAAGTTTTTGGAAGCCATCTAAAGTGTATACAGGTTTGTAAGCCAGGGTTTCGAAAGGAACAGTCACAGGGGTGCTGTATTAGTTCTATTTCATATACTACGTTTTAACGCAAAGGTACACCTCAAATTTAAAAACTTTATTTAAAAAAAAAGATGGGAAATCACAAACCCTTGGTTCATTTCCAGTGGTGTGAAATCATAAAGCTCTGCCCCAGTGTGGATGAGCAGGGCACCTGAGAGCTCTGTGCTTTCATCTAAATGGTGCTAGGTGAGAAACAGACCTGATGGTCTCATGCTCGAGTGAATAGCTGTGTGCCATCAGATAAAATGTTTCACATCAGTTTTAGTTTTGAGGCAATACCTAAGTTGGTGATGAACTGGGGTGAGGTTGGCCATCTTGGCTCTGGCCAGGTTGTTTATATGAAGTATAATTTATTTCTCTGGGAGACATATATTCATAAACAGGAGTTAAGTATTTTTTTTTCTTAATGTTTTAAGTTCTGTCTGTTTCTACCAATGTCTGAAAGGACAATGGTAGTAAATCACATTCAACTGCAGACACCAAGCAGAGAGAACAAACTGGGGGTGGGGCAGGGGAAGGCTGTAAATTCTCAAAGCCAACCCTCCCCCCCTCCCCCCCGCCGTGGTATTCTTCCTCATGCAAGGATGCGCTGCCTCGCCATACAACTCCACCGCCGGGACTAGCTGTTCAAATCCCTGAGTTTATAAGGAGCATAGCTTGTCACTTCTTTTTAACCTTATTTTTACATTATTAACTAATCAGTCATCTTAGCCTCCTTTGAAAGAATGCCTTTGAGATGCACATTTCCTTCAAGACCACCATTTCCTTCCCCTCTCTGTGAATCTTAAATATGGTTCTATCTTAGATAATATTTCCAAACATTACTAAACTTGCACCGAGATGTGACGTATCCTCGGTGGTTGAAAGAAGGGAGCATTAGAGAAGAAGGGATGAGTTGACTCATGTCTGCAGTGTTCTTACCTAATAGAAAGGTGTGAATCGCACACCTATACATTTAAATTACATCATGATGCTATTTAGTTTTTTAAAATAAAAACTGAGTTAAAAAACTGCATGCGTGTTAGGGGCTTGCTGACAGTTAAATAGTTTATTTGCTTTATCTTATAGCTGTTTTAGCTACTGATTTCCTACTTATCTACTGATTTCTTAGTTTTATGTTTCGTTTCCATGTTTTTGTCCTTTTGGGTTGGTTTGTTTTGTTATTCTTCTAGCCTGCCACAGCTTTCCCGATGGGGCAGCTGTTTACTCCTGGTAGTTTACAGAGCTGTTGCATGCACACCTGTTATTGTCTTTGTCTTCTGTGGACCTGTGACAGAGATGCATGCATGTGTGGCATCTGGATAGCTTCGTGTATACTCTTTCTACTCGAGATTCTAAAAGGGGCAAATAGTCTACTGAGATGCAGTGTTGCTGCAGTGTTAGAATGCTGACGGGTACACAGCGGTAGCGACGGACCGAGTGCCCCGACGGGAGCTCGTGGGGCATTCACTGTGACCTTCTCGTTTTAATCAGTAGGTTTACGTGTTCAGATAGGACATATATAGCATAATGGTGTGTACTCAGGTAAATTCATAATCTAAACCCCATTCTCCGAATGTCATTTTTCCATGTCTTACCGTTCAAACTCATGATTTTTCATGTTGGACGTATTTCTCCTCATCCTAGCAAGGTAACTAGAGGCACTTCTTAGAAGTGTTGTTCTCCACTGTTTATTTGGATTCAGCAGTCCAAACCAAAGTGCCTGTGTTGAGACGCTGAGCTGATGTTTATATGGTTAGCCTAGGAACTAGGACCCCATCCAACTTGTGCAACACTTGTACTTTTCACTTTTTTTTTCTAGAAAATGAAGAGGACAGTAGTGATGAAGATGCTCCTTTAAACAGCCCGGGGTCAGAGGGAAGGTAAGAGACACAAAGGGTACCACATTTGGCTTGCTTCTGTCGCATTTTCTTTTAAGGTTTGCCTTTTTCTTTTCATTATGTGTATTTGTGTATATCAGTGCAGATGTCTAACTGAGTGCTGAAACGGGTCACAGGAGGGTATCGGATTCCTTGGAGCTGAGCTACAGGCAGCTGTAAGCCCCTCACTGGGGTGCTGGGAACCGGACTCAGATCCTCTGTAAGAGCAATAAGTGTTCTTAACGACCAAGCCATCTCCCCAGCCCGTTCTATAGGATTGCTAAAACTTGAGTCTTACTGTATTAAGCAATTATCTTAAGATAGACAACTTGAAAGTCAAACAAAGCCGTGCCTGTCATAATTTTCAAAATAAAATATGGGAATAGTTAAGGAAGACAAATGAATTAATTTTTAATAAATCCACCTAGATTTTAAGTGTTACCTTTCTGAGTTTTCCATGCATATAATTTTTTTTCATAGTCATAAACATGAGGGGTGTGCAAGTCTGGGCAGTGAGTATGAATTCAGACTCATAATTGATCCTAATTTCTATGCAGCACATTGTCTTCAGACCTTATGAAGCTTTGTGGTGAAGTGAAACCTAAGAGCAAGGTAAGGAAAATTACAAATATCAGGCAAACATGTTCCATTGTTCTCTCTGTCACTGTCAAACTCATAGGCTTCCAGTTTGGTGTCTAGTAGAGTGGAAGTGGGGGTACTTTTACTCAAATTCTCTCATTTGAAATTAAATGAGATCATTAAATTATTAAAGTTATTAAATAAAATTATTAAATGAAAATTAAAATACTTAAATAAAAAATAAGTTCATTTTATAGTCTGTATAAGTAATAATTGAAAAATATCTTGAAAAGCTTCTCAGCTGAAGCTTAAGCTTTACTAAATTTTTACACTTATTTATACTTGATGAAATGCAATGTGGAGGCTGATTTTTAAGCCATTCCTTAGTTAAGTAGTAGGTTCCACAGTGGCATGCAGTATCAGTCATTTCAATGGACAGGGCATTTGTGAAATTCTAGCACTCTAGCTTTTTTTGTTTTCTTATGTTTTGTTTTAAGTGTTTCTTCCTTGTCAAGTATTCTGAGATTATTGAAAATAGAAATTTAGGGGGTTATGATGCGTACTTATAGGGATTTAAAAAGGAGATGACAAATATTATTAAATGTGTAGGAATCACACAGTCCTTTTGAGACTGGATGATTGTGTTTGATATTAGATAAATTAACTAATGGTGTTAAGTCAGTGGAAAGCAAAGAACTTAAAACAAGGTACTTGCAGTACCTTGATAAGTGCATAGATTCACATCTTGGAAGGTAATGCTGTACGAATGAACAGGAGTGTTTTAAGGACCACCATAGTTAATCAAGTAATGTAACGGGTAGTTTGGCCTTCCCACAATGCTTGGGAGAGGGAAGGGGAAGTCATGCCCTATTTTAGTAATAAATATCATTAAGTGTTGGTCATTTTTTTGTAGGAATATGAGCTCAAAGCTATGAGATTCTCCACTCCCCCCATGATAAGTCTTTATTCAATATGGATTTTCAGTGTAAAATTTCTTTATTTTTTAAAAATATTTGTGAGGCGAATGAAAATAGATCTCTAGATTCTTGTGCGGTGTTTGGGTACTGGCATTTCAGAATACAGTTTGTAATTTGCTCTGAATGATCAAACCAGCTACCAAAACTCAAAACATTCCACTGTGGCTTGGATCCAGCATAAGCAGAGAGAGAAATGTAAGATAATTTTATCTTCTGAGCTCTGTGAAGACCTACTCAGGCAAGCCTATGCCTGAGAGACCTGTGAAGCGATGATCACACAATGATCAGAAACCTCTGAGGCTAGGAAGTAGCAAGGGAGAGGGGCCTCTGCCCTAGCACCTTCAACATGGGAAGAACTGAGAAGGTAAAAAGTCCTGTGTCCCCCCACCACCACCACCAAGCCCCTGGGCTTTCTCATTGTAAAATTCTAAAACGCAATTTTTTTTTTTTTTTATTTTAAAGATGCAACAGAGGTCTTACTTCTTTTTCAATCTTTGAATAATGAAGTCATCTTATGATTTTTAATAAGGGGCCACAACAGGTACTGTGTTAACGACACAGAATCAAAACTTAAATGCAGCAGAGTCAGTTTTCCAGTGGGCAGAATAAACTCACTATACAGGTTATCAGTAGGAAAAAAAAAAAACCCACTGACAATAAAAATCTAAAGTTTATATTAAGAGAGCATTTAAAGACGGGCAACATTACAGTTTAGTTGAACTTTACTACAATGGATTTTCCTTTGGCTTAATCCCTTCCTGTTCCCTCTCTTCATTTCCCCGTCTTTTCTCTCTGTGTGAGAGCAGTTACAGGTTGAGGGAGCTGGCCACTTCCAGCTGGACAGCACAGTGATGGCCCTGGCAGATCCCTTGCCTTTGATTTTGCCTGAGTTGCCACGGACAGACGCACAGCATCCCTGCTTTCACTTCCTCACTCGTGAACTACTCAGCTCTCCACAGCTGATGTAACAGAGACAGAACTGCCTCTGGCACAAGTGTGCCATTCAAATGCTGCCCATCCTCGTGGCCTTGGAAGTGGTGCCTGGTTATAGCTCTGCCTTGTCTCTATCACACATGCTCTCTTTGACACACCTGCAAGGAAAGGATGAGCTGAAGCTTTTTAAATCTGTGCGCTTCTGACTGCTTCTCTCCCCGTTCTAACTAGGCTCGAAGGAGAACCACCACTCAGATGGAACTGCTGTACGCCGACAGCAGTGAACTAGCCTCAGACACTAGCGCAGGAGACGCGTCCTTGCCCGGCCCTCTTACACCTGTGGCAGAAGGGCAAGAGACTGGACTGAATACAGAGACAAGTGGTCCTTCTGCTAGGGACAAAGAGCTTCTGCCCCCATCTGGCTTACCTTCTAAGATAGGCAGCATGTAAGTCTGGCCCCGCTATACTAACTCCCTTTCTTTTGGCTTTTTGATATGTTTATTAATACGCATGTTGCTAATTTCTTATTTCTGTTAAAAAAAAATAGGTAATAAGTCTTCTTGTTCTCAAAGTCACTTCTGTTAGGTATTGTTGGCCCTAATTTTTATTTCCATATGTATATGTGGTGTGTGTGTGTGCGTGTGTGTGTTCTTGTGTATGGGAGGGCAAAGTTGAAGTGATGGATCCTGTTCAATTGTTCTCAACACACATAATGAGGCATGGTCCTTCTCTAAATTCAGAGTTCGCTCTCTAGCCCAGCAAGCTTTTTCCTGGAATTCCCTTTCTCTGCCTGCACTGGGCTGGGATTATGGGAGGGCCGCCATGCTCCTGTTTTTATTCGGGTTCTAGGCAGGCAAATTTTGTTTGTCGTGTTTGTGCATTAAGTACTTTCTCTAGCGAGTACTCTCTCCAGCCCAACCACAGTGTTTTGGACAGTCAAAATATTGTAAGATTAAATGTTCTTTTTTTTACTTGCTTTGCTTAATCTCTAAGTTTTAGAATAATTTTAAGGGCCCAAAATTTTCTGAGTAATGATTATAGGCACGATTTATTTAGAAACACTTACATATGGTTAAGTGATAGAAATAAAATACAGAAGCTTTAAAGACCCAAATTTGCCCCCAAATCATTTAGGGCCTAGTCCTAACACCCTGGTAGGATAGTAAATTGTTGCCATCCCTATTAAGGAAAAAAAGGAAAAGGAAATACTAATCATAAACTTTGTGCCTTTCAAGTTTTCCTATTTTAGTTTACTTTAGTTTTTGAGACAGAGTCTCACTGTGTAGCCCTGGATGGCAGGGACTTTGCTATACACACCAGGCTGGCCTCTGGCTCCCAAGTGCTGAGATGAAATACGTGTATTGCCACGCCCACCTTTTCTAACACTTCAAGATGAAGCTTTATATCTGGAGAGAATGTCAGTGAGCAGCTGAATAAGAAAATCTCTGTTGAAAAACATTTGTAAAAAAAAAAAAAATGCTTTTTGCATGGGTGTGCCTTTGTGTGTGTGTTTTTGTATGTTGGTAGTTGAATTAAAATTAGAACTTTATTTCCCTTTAAAACATTAATTCTCTTTTAGATTTTTCATTTATTATTTATGTGTATGTTTTGCCTGTGTATTGCCTCGTGCCTTCGGAGGTCAGAAAAGTGTGTCTGATACCCTGGAACTGTAGTTACAGATCGCTGTGTTCCACCATGTGGGTACTGGGAATTGAACCCGGGTCCTTTGAAAGAGGAGCAAGTTCTCTTCCCCACTAAGCAGCACTCTAGCTCCTCATGGACAAAGATTTTTAATGCAAATTTACTCTTAGGTATAATCTAGCAGATGATTTCTGATATGAATACACACCTATGAGAAATAGTGCCCTACAGCAGCATGCATCAGATAATACAAAGTAATAAACTGCTACCTGTGAGTGTCTGTTTTCCATAATATTCTTCATTTTATGAAGGCCTTTCTATCGTCTTCCGTCAGCCATCCCATCTACTTCCTTTAGTTACAAAATTAATTTTAATGGCAGAACTTTCTTGCATGTGCTTGAGGAGCTTAAGTAATTAATACTGGATGCTGCTAACCAGTGTAGCCATGGTTTCAAAGCTGTGAAAGGCCGAGCGTGGAACAGATGCTTTCAATCACAGATAAAAGACAAAAAGATAGAGGATTAGCTAGGGTCCTGCCTGTGCTCAGCGTCTAAGTCTGTGGCCTGGAATCCCCCTCAGGTAATATGTCTATTTATCAATGTATTCTTTATGACAAGTTATAGAAAATGTCTCTTTTGATTTTGCCTCATCATACGATTTACTTCAAAGTTTTCATGAACGTAGTGGGCTGAGCTTGCAATTTTAAACTTTCTCTTTCTTGTCTGAGGCAGTCTCCTGGAGCCTAGGCTGGCATCAAAATAACTATGTAGCCGAGGCTAGTACCTCCATCTCCTAAGTGTGAAGATTACATGCCTGTCAGGCCCAGGTTCTTACAAACTTGAGTTTGCTCATGTGCTTGGTACGGGAGCTCCTACAGATATTAATGCACCACTTTCATTTTCTTATCCTGTGTAGAATGCAAAATTATTAAATTATGCTTTCTTCAGGCACATGAAATTTAGTGACATTTCATTTATCCAAACCCATTTCCTATTTTTTAATTGGTTTAATTTGCTGAGAATAGTAATACGCATCATTGCATTCATAGTATTCATAGTCTTTAAATTTTATTTATTCAGCAACCACTCCACTTTTTTTTTTCTTTAATCAAATAGGTCTCATTCATTATGTCCTAGACTGGCCTTAAAAAACAAAACAAAACAAAACAAAACAAAACAAAACAAAAAAACCTCACTATGTAGCCCAGGATCTAGAAATATAATTAATTCTCTGTTTCTGCTGAACTCAGTATCTCAAGAATAATTTTTAAGAATAAACTGAATAGGCAGATCGCTCTCAAGGTTGTTGAATATGAGAGGTTTGATTTAAAGTTGTTTCATTTTAAATTTGGCTTTCCTTATGGCTGTGGGATTCAGATTTTTACTAAAACAACCTCTCATCCCAGTCTTTTAAATGCTGGGATTAGAGCTTGAGCTACCACACCTAGCTTTTACTATCTAAAGTTAGGTGCATCACAAGAATATTTTATTACTAAAATATATAAAACTACTAATTGTTGTCCATATCTAGTTCAGTAAAAATAATTGTCACTATTGGTTTTGTGTGACTACTGATATTGTTACTTTATATCCACATTTTAGTGTATATTTAGTAAATTGTTTTATGTCTCATATTCTAATAGTTTTCTTCTTGTAAAACTTTTAAGATAAATTTTCCTCAGATCAAACAATTTCCGATAAAATTTGGATACTTAAGATATTTATTCCATTTATTTAACAATATTACTTATGTCTTCATTAAAAGATGCCGGCTGGCACATAATTAATAAAATCGCTAACTTAAAAATGTGTGATTATTGAGCTTCTAGGAACAAGAAATAAATCATGCATTGTTTTCCTATCATAGTTCTATCCCCACCCCCACCATCCCGCAATAAATAAATTAGAGCTTTTAGATCAGGTTGGCTATCGAGGTTTTTTTTTTTTTTTTTTTTTTTTACACTTAAAGATATTAAAACTGATTAAAAATAAAAATAAACAGTAGAAAAATAAGAATAATTAAAGTTCTTTCCTATTTTAGTTCCAGACAGTCATCTCTATCAGAAAAAAAAATCCCCGAACCTTCCCCTGTAACAAGGAGGAAGGCGTATGAGAAAGCAGATAAACCAAAGGCCAAGGAGCAGAAACAGTAAGTCCCCCGTGCTTTTCACCTGGCTGGGAGGGTCCTCCCAGGAGGGTCCTCCAGGCGTGCTGTGCTGCGGGCCTGCGCTCTGCTGACCCTGCGCGCTTGCCTGGTTTCGCAGACACTGCAGACAAGCGAGCTCTCGGCTTGGCTCAGGGGTCTTCTGGCTGTCTGGTCTCTCACACACCTTCCTTCCACTTGAGCTCTTGTCTCCATCCTCACGTCGCTCGCGTTTTCTTCAGTCGCTTCCACACGTCCCTGGACGTTCCCGTGCACTTGGACGGGAAGTCAGGAAGCTGACGGTTCAGGTGGTCCCCCAGAGGGATGCGGAATTCGTTTCTCCCGTCCTCTGCGGCTGCCTTGACCCTCCCCGCCTTCTTGCTCCTCCTCACATCTGGACTGTGGATGCCAGCCTCGGTCGGTTCTTCCGTGGTTTATGAGGGGCTTAGTAGCAGCGCAGAGGACAGTCTGCCGATCCCTTTCCGTGGCCGCTTGGAGGCCACACCACCGAGGCGCGCAGAAGCTGAGATGCATGAAAAGACGCGAAGCGCCTCCACGTCTCCCACCAGCCTGCCCTCTCTTTTCCGCCTGCGCTTCAGTAGCAGGAAACACTGCTGCGTGCTTTTCCCTAAGGTTCAGACGTGTTCCTATCTTTTCTGCCCCTCCGGGGGCAATCTTATACTACCACTCTCCTCCTCGGTGCCAGGAGGTAACTTACGCATCCGCCCCCGCTGACCGTCGGTGGAGCTACCTGGTTGGCACACTTGCTATCCTTGTGTTCATCCTTGCTTCCTCTAGTTTTAAGGAAGCAATCTGCCCTGTTTTTAATTGAATCCAGTGTCTCAGGGACTCACTGAAGAACGGTAAACTAGGGAAAATAAATCAGAGAGTCGACCGATGAGGCGGTTTGCCCTGGAGCCCTTTGGGCCAGCCTCTTCGCCTGTGCAGTGTGTAACTTGCTCTCAGTTCTAGCTAGAGTTATAGTTAAGTTGGGATTGCCCTCTATACTGCCATCTTGTGGCCATCGTGACAAAGTCTAGTAACATCGTTTTCTTTGTTGAGAGAGCATAATCTTAAAAAAAAAAAAGAGAGAGAGAGGAAGAAAAGAAGGAATTCTATCATAAAAAGCATTTTTTTTAACAAAGCATGTTTCTAGAACTTTCCTAACAAAGCATAACCAACTAAAGCCACCTGTTTAATGTTCTTTTTTTCTCGTAGCTCAGATTCTGGCGCTTCCGAGGCTAGCCTCTCACCTCCTTCCTCCCCACCAAGCCGGCCCCGTAACGATCTGAATGTGTTTAATCGCCTTACTGTTTCTCAGGGAAACGCCTCAGTTCAGCAGGATAAGTAAGTCGTGGAAGAGAGCCCTGGCCTCTCACCCGGGACTCCGCACCCCCAGAACAGTCTGGGGACCTTTTGCCCTCGCTGTTTGGGAGGTGGAGTCTGCACAGTAAACTCTTGCCATATTTTTGTCTCATTTAAACGGAAGGAACCATGTGGCCACACTTAAGATATTCCCCTGCTGAACATGGCTCCCTGCAGTAAATGTGCACGGCTGTGCTTTCCGTTCTCAGCTCACCTTTTCTTGTGCAAGTAAGCTAGAACTTACGAATCTTTCAACAATTGATGTTAAAACTAAAAAAGCCTTTGGATTTCTCAGCTTCTATAAACTCACAAAAGTGTCTAACCCTGTCACACTATATTGAAACATGTCAAATGTTTTACCACTGGCGGATAAGACAACTTACAAAGACCACGGGCTCCTGTGATTTGGTGGTTCTACATAATTTTGCCGCTAACTTGCTGCCCATGTGGACAGATGATGTGGGACTGGAAGAGCCTTGCGGGGAGAGGCTAGGATGTGGAAAATATCATCTTTACTAACGCAGAAGTAAAAAGATATCCCTATGTTGAGACACAACCTTTCTTCTAAACATTCAATGCTAAATACGACCGCCATAATGTAGTCATGAGCTCTGGCCTGTCTGTCTGCTTGGAATTTGAATAATACCCTGTGAATGTATGCCCTTGGCACCCCCTCCCCCCCAGCTACAGCTGTTGGTTTCCTATGCTGTTATCTTCCCGCATGTAACATCTCTAAAATTTATAGGATGCCATTTAAAAGATCTGTCTAGTATGCTTAGATTGTATTAAATGGCTCTATAAATGTAATTACACTCATCATTTGGAAATCATTTTTAATATGCTTAATTCATAAATCAGTTGTTTATATATTCCTTATTAGTTTTTTTAAAATATATTAAGTAGATGATGGGTCCTTCAAATTGGCCTAGAAAGGTGTATATTGTGCTCTTGAAGAAAACAGCCCTGAATGTTATGAAGGTGTTCTGTCAGTTGAGGAAGGTAGGGCATTAGGAATATGTCGCAGAAGTCTGCCCTCACTAACATGCGAGCAGTTGCTGAATTTCACACACTTTGCATTCACAGTAGTCATAAGGTTTCCCATCACAAGCTGGGTGTGGTGGCCCACAAGCGCAACCCAGCATGCGAGAGGCTCCTTAGGGAGAACCACGGTACGCTCACTGCCAGACTGGGCTACATAGTCAGCGTCAGGACAGCCTGGGGTATGGAGTAAGAACCTGTCTCTCCTCTCTTTTCTTTTCTTTTTCTGTCAGTCTTGATAATCTTGATAATCTCATCATAGTTTACTATTTTGCTCCTACTATGTTTTATGGACTGCGTTATTTTTATTGCATAAGTAATATGTTGAGTCCACTAAATTCATACTTTGAAAAACTTCCCTTCATTCTGTATTCCTTGTGGGGGGGGGCTGTTTTGAGACGATCGTATTTCATCTGTGACATGCACACCTCACAGTTCGGTTCTTCTCACATTTAGTGTCTGTCAAACAGTGCCTTTTACATTCTCCCCAGGAACACTACGCGACCTAAGTCCCTAACAGCCAAGAATTTGTCAAACTTTCACAGAAGAATCTATCTAAAACAGTAACTAGGAAAATGAATTCATGCATAGGTAGTAGAATGAGGATTTCCTTTTTCTTCTTTTTAGATAGTTGTCAAGTTAAACCTGGCAGTGATGCAGTTCATATACTTCATATGTCTCCTTGCCGGGACCTGTGTTTTAGAGGTGAAGGTAGAATCTATGGGTCAGTAATAAGTACACAGTTTTTGCCCCCTAAAGTTAGTAGAAAACCAAGAGTGTGTATATATATATATATGCATATATATATACAGTTGTTGAATTTAACTGTACTTTAAACTTGCTGATTTCCAGTGCAAACAGAAAAACAGAGATTGAAGAGAAAATGCTTACAAAGTCCTGTTATTCACACTGTTGATTTTCAGTCTGTCGTCAGTGTCTTTACCTGTTTTGGCATCCGTTCCTTTCCTCACGACTCTAACTCTTTTGCTGTAGGTCTGATGAAAGTGACTCCTCTTTGTCGGAGGTACACAGGTACTTTCTTCCTCTCTCTCCTATGTCCTTTCATTCCACTGATGTCCTAAACGCCTCTCAGAAATCCTAAGCAAAGTCTCAGTTTTTTCATTGCATGAATAACTTGTTATAAGCCATGTAATTGAGCTAATATTTTAAAACATTAATTTTAATGTACCATTTGCATTTATCCTGTAAAAAATAGTAGCAAACAGTCATTATGAACACTTAGAACCTTGTTTGTTGCTGCAAATGATACTCATGTTTCCCCAATACCATTGTCAGAAAGGCTTGAGCCTTAGGGTTAAGCATTTCTGCTGCTTCTAAGTCTAGGAGTCACATAGGTATTTTTTTCTGGTTGGTTTAGCAATCTGAAAAAAAAAAAAAACCAACTTATTTTATAGCAGCATACTAGAATATAAAAGGATACTGTCATGACAAAATTTAGCAAAAATTGAAAGTAAAGGGATTCATTTTAACTTTATTAAACTGATAAATAAAGTTCTAAAACCCAATAGCATTACATTTTTCCATGTTATGGATTTGGGGACGGCCTTAATTTTTTTCTTTTTCTCTTGTTCCCTCTTTCCACACTTATCCATTTGTCTCCCCCTACCCTCACCCTTGTTTTCCTTGTTTTATGGTCATTTTTCTGAACATCAGCAGATCCTCCAGAAGGTAGGCAGGGGAAGGGAGAATAAATTAATCTCAGTGTTATGACTTTACTCGTTTGCATGGGGAAAAAAAGAATTTTTTTTTTCTTCTCCACTCAGATCAGCTTTGTTGTACAAATTCACATAATTTAATTTAATGTTCTATAGGTCATATTTATCTATCATCTTTAGTGGTATGGTGTAATTGTTACAAAATATTAACTCTAATATACTGAGTTTTAGAACAGTTTAATGACCTAGAAAATACTTAGAATATTTTTAATTTTTTAATATTGAGCTATCTTTCTTCTGAACACTGAATAACCATCAGTATTAAAATACAGTAGAACAGGCTGGGGTGCTGTCTCAGAAGGGAGGGTGCTTGGCGGAGACATAACGACTGGAGTTAGGGTCTGCAGAACCCATACAGTGACTGCGCAGCGCTCAGGAAGCAGGGACAGAGGTACCTGGGCAAGGTGGCCTGCCAGCGTGGCTGACATGGTGCTGCCTCAACACACGGCAGCCTGGAAGGACACTGGCCGCAGCCTTACGCCTGTCCACAGAGGGTGCCCCATTCGCATGGGCCCACTCATGTTGGAACATGCACACCCATGTGTAGGCCACACAAACACACACAGCAACAGAGACCGTGTAAGAATAACAGAAGCCTCCTGCTCTCTGGGGAGTTAGCTAAACATGTTGGGTGCTGTATCAGGAGACACAGCTGCTCCCAGGGGCAGGGACTCTGAAGACACAGGGCTGATCACCTAAGTGATTTTACTGTGCACTTGTGTTCCGGGGATGATTCTGACTCACAGGCAGCCTTTACGCTGATCGCGTGGTTTCGTTAACTCTTCTTGTGAATATGTGCAGCTGCAGCAGCCTTCTCCAGAAGAATGTCTCTTAAATACGTGAAGCAGTGTCTGTAAACTTAATGGTGCTCACCCTTTTGAGAGTACTGTTTCTCCCATTTCAGTTTTGTCTGAATTCTTATATTACAAACAAGTTATTGGTATTAATTTTAATCTGAGATTTTGCACACAGGCAGATAAATTGGTATATATATATATATTTGTCTTTGAATAACCAAAGACAATCTCAAGGGTCCTTTTTAATGACATGGAATTTCTTTCTTTCACTCCAAAGTTACAAAAAATAAGAATAAGAATAAAAAGAAGTACAGTATAACAAGACCTTAATGTAATGTTTGTAAAATAAGCCTGTTTACCTTCTTTACACTTCTATCATTTTTTGGCCAGCCTTCTGTAGCTATATGAGAATTAATTTACTGCCTTTTTGTGTATATGTGACACCTCTCTAAATACTTAACCTTTTAAATTTCATGACTATGTCCTCTCTCCAGTATGTACTTTTATCATGTTGAGGGTTCTATTCTATTTTACTTTATTTTTCTAAGTTGGAAAGAGTCCAGTATTCAGTGTTCTTAATACCCAGCATCTGGAGCTAAAGCCCATTCCTGATGTGGCCTGAGAAGAATGTAGATAGGCTGGAGTGACGTCACCCTAAAGTGCTTCCTTCTGTGAGCAAACCATGGTCAATTTTAGTAGAGGAGCCACCAATAGTTAAGCTTTTATTGGGTACTCAGTGTCTGGACAGCCCTCTCTCTAGAAGTTAGTCCTGGTTTTCACTTGTATTATTCTCTTTTATCTTTGGCTGTAGCGCTAGGTTTAAACTTTACCCAGTGATTATGTTAGTGCTACACAAAACTGCCTTCTTGTTTGGGTGACACTCCCCTCCCAGCTATTAAATTTGTCAATTTAATTGGCAAGCCGTTTCTGTTATTAGGGCCAGGGAAAGATTGTTTACATGCCAAAGGTCTTCCAGTCTGACCCTTTGCCCTGGTGCAGCAGCTTTAGCTCATCGGTTTCATATTTGCCTCACTTTTTCTCAGGGGCATTCTCTGACTGACTTAGTATTCAGGCCTTATTGGAGTCAACATAAAATGAGCACACTGTATATCCTTGTTCACTGTCTAATAACCCTACAGGGAATACCCCATAAGACTGCCAAGCCAGTGTTATGACCTACTGATCAACTTTTACTTTTAAATGTGTTTATAATGATTTACCCAGTATTTTTCCATGTGAAACTCAACAAGATATTAATGTCTGAGGTGTTTTTGTCCCGTTTATTAATCTTTGGTTTCTAAGATTACTGACAATATTTTTTCCTCTTCAATGGAATTTTCCTTTAGAGAATATGAACAATATTAATAATTTAAAAACAGAAACATTTAATGTTGTAGCTCTCAGCAAGAAAAATTAATCTATTTGAGTCATGTGTTTTGTCTTGTTTCATTCTCATCATCACTCTTTCTGACACTCATTCGAATTTATATCTTATCTTAATGTTTTGTAATATTAGGAGCAGACATTGTTTTGATAGTCCTTTTAGTCTCTGGTGCATGGCCCACCCCATAGACCAGATGTTCAAGAAATAGTATCTGTAAGCAATCTTGGCTGCCACTTACATCTTTCACTATAAAATCTTTGAGATTATCAATTTTTTTTCACCGCTTTGCTGGTGCTTGAAAATCATCTTTTCTTTAAATTTCTTTCCATCCGACATTCCATATTTCTTTGAGAGCTGCTTTCTGTGTTGCTTAGATCTTATTGTTACACTTTCTCCAGCATTTTTACTTAGGCATAGGACTCCATTCTGCCTGATGGAGAGCCATTTCATTCAGTTACTTCTCATTTCTACTTCCTTGTTGGTAATAACAAGAAGGAATTGAAAATCCAGGTGTATCCTCATCACTCTCAGTGCTTGCAGAACTAGGTACCAGTGGACACCTAATTAGTTGATGTACTTACTCCACTGCTGTTGCCTCACACATCACCAGCTTCCTTTTGACTAAAACAATAAAGGGAACAGTCTGGATATTATTAGTAATTACTTATAAGGGCTCTTTAAGAAACTATGGGGAAAAGTTAACACATTTTAATGATAAAGATACTAAAGCCAATCTTTTTCCCTCCACCTCAGGGGCATAATCAACCCATTTCCTGCCTCTAAAGGAATCAGACCATCTTCACTTCAGTGTGTTCACATAGCTGAAGGGCACACAAAAGCTGTGCTCTGTGTGGATTCTACTGATGACCTCCTCTTCACTGGATCAAAAGGTGCTAGCCACGGAGAGACAGCTTAGTGGTTAAGACTGTACAGTGCTCGTCTGTAGGATTTTAGTTGTTCCCAGCGTCCCATGCAGCTTGCACTGCTTGTACCTCCAGTTTCAGGGATTCTTGCACCCTCTTCTGGCTTCCACGAACACCTGCACTCATGTGCACAAGTCTTCCCAGAAAGGTGTAATTTTCAAATAAAGTTAAAAAGAATAAAGGGTTCTAGCAATCCTCTAATGCTCGTATTATATATTTAAAAATAGCTCTTAGATAGGGTCATTAAAAGGCTACATAATTCAAGTGAGTCTGCTATGCTGGTGTAGTACCTAAACTGTAGAAAATATAAGATCTTTGCTTAGTAGGGAAAGGAGTAAATCCACTGTTTGCATTTGTGAGTGCAGCGGCGAGAGAAGGCCTCTCCCTTCAGTGGTTGACACTGCTCACCATGTTCTAGATTTTGAAATGGACAGTATACAGTTTTATAAAAGATCATTAAAGTATCCAATGTGGTAAAAGACAGTAGCAACCACCACTTCTTACCAACGTGTCAGAGATTGTGAGGCATGATACAAATGTGTATTAATATAATAGCTCCCACGAGGTTCATGCTGCAGCCTTATGTTACGGATGAAGAAACTCAAGAAATTAAAATGCTTTTTCTGTGTTTATTTAGCTAGTAGTTTGAACCAGATTTAGAGACCTCTAATCCTGCACCCTTAGACATTATAAGAAACTGAAACAATAAGGCAAATGCCAGAATCCCCTGACATTTGTTTCATCCTGTTTACCTCCCTTGGCTATGAAATTACCACAGACATTCAAGGATGTACTGTGATTCCCAGTGTGAGATAATTGGAGAGTACCATCATCCTTTGCTGTTTCATTCCCATGGTGGGATGTTGTTTAAATAACTTTTGCTGTTAAAAGAACCCCAAATATTTCATGTTAACAGCATTTCTTCTGCGTTTCTTTGTTTGTTTTAGACCGTACCTGTAAAGTATGGAATCTCGTGACTGGACAGGAAATTATGTCACTAGGGGTTCACCCTAACAACGTTGTGTCTGTAAAATACTGTAACTATACCAGCCTGGTCTTCACAGTGTCAACATCTTATATTAAGGTGTGGGATATCAGAGAGGCAGCAAAGTGCATCCGAACACTCACGTAAGTAGTTTGAAGACAACACCAAGAGTGAATAGTTTTGTTTTTATAAAATATAAGGAAATATAAGACTGTATATATGTATTCGTTTTTTTTAAAAACACTTCCCTACTTCTCAAAGGCTGCTTGAGTGTTCACCATAAAATAACAGACAAAATAAGGAGGCAAAAGTTGAAAATAACAAAGAATGGAATGTGGAAAGGAAAAGACAGACTGGATTAATCAGTTACCTAGTGTGGATTTCCTATTTTCCCTTTCCTAAGTGCTAAGGCAATGCTTGAGCACCCTGTGTACTACTTTAAGGAAGTATGTGATTTAAATAAGAATCGGTCCTTGGAAAATGTATTATTGGTGGCAAGGAAGTATTTGCAACCTTTAATTAGCCTTGAAATAACCGGCTGTGTTTTAGGATGGCACCACTTCCAGATGTTAGGACTACAAGTTGTGCTGGGCAGTCTGGGTATGAGTCTTCTCAGTGTGTGTCGTTATGTCTCAAAACTACAAAACAGATAATTATTATTTGGTTATTAATACAGACTTTTTCCTAATTAACATTGAAGTGAACTCAGTAACTATGTACGTGAGAAAAGGGAACGCTGAATTCGTTTCCAGTAAACAGTAGAGGCTGTTACTGTTAAGAGACAGTTTCTTCCGAAGACACTGGATGGAAACCCTGCGGGGAAATTCTGTAGAAAAAGAACGCCCTATCTCCAGTTAGAAAGTTCTCAGTTTAGGTTACTTGTTAATGTCAAATCAGAAAGACTGGTTTTAATTCAGTATTTTAGATGTCAGCAGGGAAAAAAAAAATTAAAAACATCTCTCTGGGCAAATTTATTGAACGAAAAATAAGCAAACCACAGCTAACTTTTCAAAACTAAAGCACAGAATCCATTAAACAAAAACTGAGAGTAGTTAAAAGGTCCCACCAGAAACCAATTCTAGTATACAAATGAATACAGGTAAGCTAAGCCAGCAGAGGGCTCCTGCCAACTGCAGTAGATTGAGCTGCCTTTGTACATTGCATTATTAGTTGAGATTTAATCTTGGATGTAGAATCATTTTTAAAGGATGTTTTTAGTCATCTCTAACTCAGGGTCTGGGATTCCTGGCATGACAGACACATACACTAAGAGTTTAAGAGTGGGAGGAAGGACTGAAGGAATCAGAGAGGTCAAAAGGACACCACAAGAAAACCTACCAAATCAACTAAGCTTGGCCCATAGGGTCTCACAGAAATGGAACCACCCACCAGAGAGCATGCAATGCATGAGCTGGAACTAGGCCCTCTACATACATGTAACAGATGTGCAGCTTAGTCATCATGTGGGACCCTGAACAGCAGGAGCAGGGACTATCTCTGAGTCTGTTGCCTGCCTTTGAGTCCCTTACAACTTGATAAGCCAAGGGGTTGATATCCATGGGAGGCCTCCCTTTCTCTTAGGAAAAAGGGAGGGGGGGGGGAGCTGCATTGTGATGTAAAGTAAACATATAACTTAATTTTTAAAAAGAATTGAAAAGCAAGAACTTAAGCCATATTGCCTTGGTTTATTCATTCACATAATTTCTCAGTTGGCCAATATTTCCTGTCTACTGGGTGCTGTGCCAGCTGTTGTCCACAGCGAGGCTCTTCGGAGCTCAGATGCAAGCCAAGCTCACTCACATCTGAAGGCATGACTTACACTCTGCTTCGTTTTCTACTTCCTAGGTCTTCAGGTCAAGTTACGCTTGGAGAAGCTTGTTCAACAAGCACCAGCCGGACAGTAGCTATTCCGTCCGGAGAGAGCCAGATCAATCAAATTGCACTAAACCCAACTGGCACTTTCCTCTACGCGGCCTCTGGAAATGCTGTCAGAATGTGGGACCTTAAAAGGTAGAACTTCCTGTCTCTTCCGTATGTCAAATACTACTTTACATACTGACAATGTTGATGCTTGTGAAATGTTTGCTGCATGTCCTCTAGCTCATTTTTGTTGTTGCTTTATTTTGTTTTTGTTTCTGCTTTTGAGACAGGGTTTCTCTGTGTGGTGCTGCTCTGTAGACCAGGCTGGTCTTGAACTTAAGAGATTCACCCACTGCCTGCAGCCTCCAGAATGCTAGGATTAAAGGCCTGTGCCACCACTGCCCATTCTAGCTCACGTTTAAAAAATGTTTCAAACTGTTTTATTTTGTATATAGCAATGCAATTTACATATTCAATAAGGCGAAAGAGGAATGATTTGATAAGATTTAAACAAAACTGTTCTTTTAGTTACTTTGTTAATGTAATAATAATCTATTTTAATAGCAGGATTAAATATAGGTTTAATTTAAAAAGGTGACTAAAAACAGTTTTTAAGAAAGTGTATTATTAATATACTAGACGTTAAGAGCATTGCTGTATTTCAGCAGCTTGCTTTGAGACAGGATTGCCACATATATTCATTGTTACCCTCTGAGAACTGACTGCACACATTAAAAGAAAAAAAAAAGAGTCCTGTTATTTAGCCCAGAGTAGGTTGGGATAACAGCTATGAACCATTATGCCTGGGTAGCATTGTTTATTCTTACACCTGTCAGCTATCTGTTCTAGTCATGTTCAGTCTTAATAGGGACCAATGAAATGACTCGCAGATTTTCTCATATACATGGTTGCACATGGATGTGGATGCATTGGTATATTTGTACATATGTGCCTGGTGTATGTGCATGTGTTGTGTATAACGTGTGTGTGTGTAGAATAAAATAAGCCCACTTCCTCGATAGCTCCGTCAGTGTTGTCAGCAGTGATATTAATGTTTTATTTAGATACAAATCGAGTCACAAAGAAGATTAATTATGTATTTAATAGATGAAGTTTACTTGGAGGAATTAAGATTATCTTTTCACAGTTTCTCAAAATTTGGCACTTAATTTATAAATTATATTAAGCTTTGCGATAAGATCTAAGTATTTCCCAGCTTCTATCCTAGGATGTTGGTTGGGCTGTTTCTAATTATTCTATCCAGAGTTTCAAAAGGCAGGGCTGAAATCTAAAGGAAAATTAATAAACAATATTATGAACAAATATAGATTATATGAGTCTTCTGTCTGGGTACGAAATGCTTTCAACGGTCATTTTATTTCTCTTTAAGGTTTCAGTCTACAGGAAAGCTAACTGGACACCTGGGTCCTGTTATGTGCCTTACGGTAGACCAGATCTCCAATGGACAGGATCTAATCATCACGGGCTCAAAAGACCACTACATCAAAGTATGTATTAGTAGATTTTGAATTACATTTTCTTGAGTGATAGATTCGAAGTAGTCACTAATCTAAGCCCTGTCTCACTTCTCTTTTCTTTCTCCTTGTGAACATTGGAGGTTAATTAGGTTTTTGTTTCACATGAGAATAGGTGTGGATTGTTTCCTGGATCATGGGTAACTTGCCAGGATCTTCAGTGGCTATATTATTTAGAATAGGTACTCCACCTCCTCCAGCAAGTATTAGCTGTCAATTGCTCCTTGGGGAAGGGAAGCGGCATCTTGTGAACGCCTCCTTCATCCATGAAGGGGTGCTGACAGGCTCTACTCTCTAGCAGGTCTTTTTCAGGTAACCACAGCGACTGAGGGTTCATGTCTGCACTGGCCATGTCAAGTCTGGAAGGCAGTGTTTCACCACACCCCGTCCTCTGGCTCTTGCTTTCTCTTCCGCTCTTCTGTGATGTTCCGTGACCTAGATGTCCTTAGGGCTGAGATCATTCAGCAGTCACTGACTCTCAGCACTTTGCAAGGTCACTTTCTCTCAACCAGTCTTCATCCCCCATTTTTTACCCTTTACTTTATTTGTTTGTTTGTAATCTCTTCTTGATTTATAGTTACTGATTTGGTTGTCCTTTTTTGTTGCTTTGAGAAAGGGTCTTATGTAGTTCAGGCTGGCCTTGTGCCCCCTCTGTGGTCAAGAATTATCTTCCTGCCTGTAGCTCCCTATTGTTGGAACTATAGACAGGAACCACCATGCCCAGTATCCTAGTTTGCTTTCTGTTTCTATGATAAAAACCACTGACTAAAACCTACTTAGAGATGTGTAGGCTTTATTTTTTTGGTCTGCTTTATTGGGTTCTTGTATCTACCACCCTTCCAACTCTCCCTCCCACTTCTGCCTAACCCCTTCCTCTAACTCCTCAGATAAGGTGAGCCTCCCCCCTTCTGACTTACACCACCACATCACCCTTTCAAGTCTTAATCCACCCTAATCCCTTCCAAGCCCCGAAGAACACTAGGTAGGAGAGAAAGAAGGTTAGGGGAGAAGAGGGTGCGGAGACTTCTTTAGCCAACTTCTTGGTGGCTAGAGACGTTGCATTCCCTGGGGCAAGTCCAGTCTTCGTCTTCAGACTATCTCCAGCCAGCAACCTAGCAATCCTTCAACAGCAAACACAGCAGCAGCAGAAACCACAGCAGGGGGAGCGGGAGGAGCGGGAGCAGCAGGAGCAGCAGCAGCAGCAGCAAGAGCAGCAGCTGCTGAGCAGCAGTCTCTAGTATTTATACCCTCTCTAGAGTCCCCAGAATTCCAAAAGTAAACTATCCGCAGTTGGCAAAAACACACCTCTTCTAAAGCATGAGACAATCATAGTTAGTGGCTGAGGACAATCTGAAGCAGCCCCATATCCCACACCTGGGATTAAAACAAAAACATGTTCACATGACAGAAATGGGTTTTTAAAGAAACCAAAATTCTCACTACAGGGAAGAAAGAGTTATTTGGATTATAGTGGGATTACAGTCAAACATCAAGGGAATACGAGGTAGGAACTCAAGGCAGGTCCCTTTAGGTAGGAGCTGAAATAGAGGTCACACAAGAATGCTGCTTACAGGCTTTCTCCATTGTTCATTTTTAGCTATCCTTCTTATACTGCCCAGGCTCACCGCCTGTGGATGGTACCACTTGGAATGGGCTCTTCCATATCAATTGTAAATTAAGAAAATGCCCACAGACATGCCCACAGGCCAGTCTGCAGGAGGCAATTCATCAACTGATGTTCCTTCTTCCTAGGTGTCTCAAGTGGACAACCAAGATTAGTCATCAGACTCAATTTTATTTAGTTCTAGGGACTGACACCAGGCTTCAAGCATACTAGGCAAGACCTCTGCCAACTGAGATACATCCAAATTGACTGACTTTGATATTATTCAATCAAGTGGTCTTTTTTAGCCAAGCAAAAGTGAAAAGGTGTGGAGGGTAGCTTTGGGAAGGTGGAGAAGGAATCTGGGATTGAAAACCTACCTAACTGAAACTGAATAACATGATTTATTTCGATTTTAAATGCACTGATACATAATATCTTTAGCTTCGAATGACTCATTTGTTTATTCACACATGAAAAAAAAGTCTAATTGCTTTTCTTGGAGTTTGCAGAAGATGTGACATGCAAACAAAGAGAGTGAGAAATGGCACTGAGAGCATTCCTCGGGGTCATCCCTGCAAAGTTAGTGCAGTTAGCAAATCATTGAAATGCACATTCGTGCTCCTGTGAATGTGCGCATGGAGGAGGCGCTTATTCAAAAGTGGACCGGGGTAACTGCTTTCTTTCTGATTCTCCCTGCAGATGTTTGATGTGACCGAAGGGGCTCTTGGGACTGTAAGTCCCACCCACAACTTTGAGCCTCCTCATTACGATGGTATAGAAGCACTGGCCATTCAAGGGGATAACCTGTTCAGTGGGTCCAGAGACAACGGAATCAAGAAATGGGACTTAGCTCAGAAAGGTCTTCTTCAGGTAATTCAGGAGCTCGGCAAGATGTGAAGTGGCTATTTCAGAACCACACAGGAGTCTGTCCTACAGCTTGGGTTTCTATTTAGATTCTCGTTGTTTAATCAAAGATTTCTCTTAAAGGTATTTTTTAAAACAATTTTATAATCTTTATTATAAAAACAACTTTCAAATAAATTTAAATAGCACATATCGAATTTAACTAGACCCAAAGTCTGAAGAACTGAGTGATCTTCTATAGAGTTAGAATACGCATTAGGGATGGAAGCTGGGGGCTTCACCTTAAATTTTACACTTTCAATATCAAATACAGTTTATGTAGTTTGTCCTCAGAGTATAACTGGGAGAAGGCTAACATTCAACTAATACATGCTAGGGCGGAGTAGAAATTTTATGTGGATCTGTTTATTAAATACAATCACCATGAGGTAGGACAGTCGTAGTTGTTTTTAAATGTACATATGTTTTAAGAAGCACGAAGACTATCTGGAGTCAAGAAACTCCTTAGTCCCGGTAGTGTTTTCTTGAGTCCAATAGGCAGTGGTTCCATTTCCTGCAGAATGCTAGCTGGCTACGGTGTATCTTTTACTACTAGCTCTGAGGGAGAAAAATTAGGTAATAGATAAATTTGTTTATAATTCTTTGCAACTATTTGTTGCTACGTGGATGCATTTTGGAGGGATTACAACTGCTACCCCTTCCCTGCTTTCAAACTCTAAGTGTTGCTTGCTTTTTTCTCTCTCAGCAAGTCCCAAACGCACACAAGGACTGGGTCTGTGCCCTGGGCCTGGTGCCAGGCCACCCAGTCTTGCTCAGTGGCTGCAGAGGAGGCATTTTGAAACTCTGGAATGTGGATACTTTCATACCCGTTGGAGAGATGAGAGGTCATGACAGTCCGATCAATGCCATATGTGTTAACTCCAGCCACGTTTTCACTGCAGCTGAGTAAGTGTCCTTCTGTGGCTTTGCTCTGGGTGGGTTGCTTGTGCTTGCACTTGGCATACTGTAGGCCATCAGCATTTACAAACCCTCAATGCAGGGGGTCTCTCTTTCATTACAGTCATCCTAGCAACTGGTTTAAGATGACTGATTTACTTTTATTTATTTTTAATATTATTTTGCTGTTTAGCCCAAACTGGCTTAGAATTCATCTTCCAAAAGATGGGACTCTAGAGGTGAGCCATCACTCATGGATCCTGAATTAAAATTTTGGATCCACTTGCCGAGCCTTGAGGTTAGGCTAGCTTTCAGATGTTAGGCTACGTCTGTGTTCCCTGGGTATTAGGGAGCCTGGTGTCAGATCTTTCTTGTTGACTTAAAAAAATCATTCATTAATGACTAATTTTGAATTAATCTTTGTCTTCAGAAAAGCAGCTAATTTGCTATTCTTTATATTTAGCACAAGTTATTTTGAACAATCTCTGCTTCTTTGTCCATTTAATATAAGAATGTGGTAGTAGCATATTTCCTCCCTCTGAATAGCAGGATTGACAAATTCCTTTCTTGTTTATCTGACTACTCACAACGAATCTTCTGTGTGCTGGCTCTTAATGTAGACTCTTAGGAAGGGAGCAGAAAGCAGAGCAGACACAACTCCTGCCTTCTAGCCAGAAGCAGAAGAAATAGTAAGGTGACAAACTGAAGTGATGAGAACTCAGCAGGGCTGGGGTTACAAAGCAGAGTGAATATTGAGGGGGACCCTGAGCTGTGTGCTGTAGAAAAGTTGCAGGCAGAAAGCATTCTATGAATTTGTGTTTGATTTTCTTATACAACATTATACGTGTTTTACTTGCATTATTAAAATTTCCTTAAGGGATTTGGGGAACTATTGATTGACATTTCTGCCTCTGTTCATGTGTCTATTTTAAACTTACTGTTTTGTAGTGATCGAACTGTGAGAATTTGGAAGGCCCACAATTTGCAAGATGGTCAAATCTCTGACACAGGAGACCTGGGGGAAGACACTGCCAGTAATTAAACATGAATGGGGGGACGCATAAACTGACACTGTGATGATGCTCTGTGTTCTGTGTTGAAAATGATGTCCTGCACTTATTAATGGAACCAACTGGAAATATAAAGCTGTTCTCTCTTATATGTGTAATATTAATATCTACCAATGCATATATTTCCTAAAATCGATGTATTGCTTGAATCACACTTTTACTGTGGCTGGATTTTTTTGTGCCTAGCTATAAAAAGATACTTTCAAATTGTTTGAGTTGTAAGACACCTGCTTTTGTGACAGTCAGAAGCATATTCAGAGTAAAACACTCCCACCTGTTAACTCAAATGATGTGTTCGTAACTTACACATTTAAACATGCACTGGAACTGTTAATCACACTGTAGTCTGCTCATCCGGAATTTTGTCAGTCTTTAAGGGGTTCTAAATTTCAAAACTCTTTCAATGTAATGGAATAATAAAATGAGGGATTTATTGGTGATTTCTCATAATTGAAATTAGTCTACTAAGAAAGCTAACAGTTTGTGCTAAAATGCTCATGTTTACCTATATTGACCAAAGCTTTCAGTTGTTCTGCATTCTGTGCTCACGATGAAGACGCCACAGAACTGTTGCGTTGTTAGTGCTGGGCATGTGTTCTGTGATGGCGAGCTGTTGATTTCCTAACAGAAAGATATTTTGATCTATTTTCCTATGGAATTATTTCTATTATCTTTTAATTTGTTTTTAATTTAATAGTAATAGCTCCTTTATCTTTTGTCTGATTTTTATATGCTGCTAAATATATTTTAAATATACTGTGTTTGCACACGTCGGTAGCTATGATGTGTTTGCGCACATCGGTAGACTGTTATCACTTGTGGTGGGAAACAATGTAAATATAGGTGAATTGTAAAGAGAGACTATCTTGCATTATGACTGTATGAACTTCTAAATGCTGTTTGATTAGGTTTTGTTACAAGATGTATAATTTATCTGTCTACTCAGAATATTAATTTGTAAATTCTGCAAGTTTAATTTTATGTAATGGCAAAATCTTTTGAAATTATTGTCTTGTGTTATTTTTTTTTTGTCCTGAAAATATTTGTTTGTAAATGAAAGGTTAGCTAGTGCTTAAATAAACACGTTGCTATGAATTGTTTTCATTCTGTTAATTTTTTAATGATTGTTAGAAAAGTGCAGTGTTGGTACATCTTTTTTGTCCATGTGTGGTGATGAGGAAAGCTTGTCTCACTGCACCTTTCTTTGCTCCTGAGATATGAAATAGTTCTGGATGAACAGTGGAAATGCTATTTAAAGAAACAAAATCAATTTATGTGACTTAGTGCTTTGAACATAGATAATAATACAACAAATTATTAAGATAAATGTGAAGGCAGCGACCATGCCTCCTGAAAGAAAAGGGAATGGACAGGAACAAGATGGCAGAGTAGTCGGAAGCTGCAGACAAGACTTCAAGGCCCAAGCTCTGTGCTATATTTTTTCACTTAGGTCCAAAATATTACCTTTTTTAGTATGTTGAGCTGTACATTTATTTCTCTATCTTCCTTTGTGCATTTGTATGGTGTTTGTAGGAAAACATGTTTTTTTCTTTAACTGAGGGACATATTTTCCTGGTCCTCAGCAAAAGCAGCCAGAGAGCCTAACCACTGAGCTCCAGTTCCAGGCTCTGTTCTTGTTTTTTTTTTTTGTTTTTTTTTTGTGATTTTTTTTTATAGCTTTAAAAAAATGTATGTATAAAGATGGTTGTGCCTGAACACCACACAAAAGTAGGTGAGGCATCAACAAAATACCAACCAAAACTGAGCTGTCATCTCACCTCTGTTAGAATGGCTATTGTAAGACTTACAAAGAAGGAATGCTTAGTAGAAGTGTGTGTGAATTATTCCAGCCACTCTGGGAAATAGTATACAAACTCAAGACACTAAAATTAGCTGGGTGTGATGGCAGAGGCATGTAGTCCCAGCACAGGGAGGCAGAGAAAAGGCCCTGAGTAAGTTCAAAGCTAGCTTCAGTGACCAGCCAGACCATTCCAAAGTAAAGGGCCAGAGAGAGAGGCTCAGTGATAGAATGAACAATGAGCATGTGTGAGAATCCAGCACTAAAAACACCAACAAAAAGGGAACAACCTGTCCCCCACAAAACCCAACAATACATCAAAACAACACCCCAAAGAGAAATCTAAACTGTATAATCCAGCTATACCACTCCTGGACATATGCCTGAAGGAAATTCTCACAGCAGTTGTGACTTGAATAAAAATGGCCCCTGTGGACCCATATGGCCCTGTTGGAGGAAGTGTGTCACTATTGAACATTCTTTGAAGTTTCAAATGCTCAAGCCAGGGCGAGTGTGGCGCTAACCTCCTGCTGATCTGGATTTAGAACTCTCAGCTATGTCTCCATCACCACATATGCCTGTGTGTTGCCATGTTTCCCGCCATGGTGATAAAGGACTAAATTTCTGAACTGGAAGCCAGCCCCAATTAATATTTCCTTTATGAGAGTTTCTGTCATCACGGTGTCTCTTGACAGCAATAAAGCCTAACTAAGATGGCAATCATTAGAATTTCTAAGATATGGTTAGTGCCTTTCAGCACATGGAGAAATAAAACAGCATACCTACACATGGAGAAGATTGAAGTCACATCATTCGCTAGGCAACGAATGCACATGAAGTCATCATAGTAAGGGATAGGAGCCAGACACAGACAAGTATCATATGGTTTCATAACAGAACAGCAGCAGAAAAGTTGTTTTGTTTTTTTTTTCTTAAGGTTACTTGAGAACATACTAGGGAATCAGCGAATAGGAGAAAAAGAAGAGAGAGGAGGAGAAGAGAGGGGGGCCAACTAGGGAGGAAGGATTTAAGCAAAGCTATGTGTGACTATGGAAATGTAACAAGGACACCCTTTGGTCTGCAAAGTTATTATGAGTTCAGTGACTGTGATTTTAAATTTAGGAGAGGCAAGGAGGTACCCAATTTGGCCTACTGCTATGTAATTTTCCCTTTCCTGCTAAGAGTTGGGAGAACACTTATCCTTTTTGAGTCTGAATTTTAAGATTCTTTTCCATAGTAGTCTAAAAAAATAGCATGAGCCCATGTAGTGAATGACTTATGTCAAACATTCTAGAAGTGTTTTGTGCATAATACAACTGGATTTTGCATACAGAACACAAACTAGATATACAGAGGATTCACCTCCATGGCTGTTTAGCACTGTTCATCACAGGAAGACACCACTTACTCTAGACATTTTAAATATGTGTACAGCCTAAATCTAACAATACAATGGCAAGTTTGCCGCCATGAAAGTAATAGGTACTCAAGGGGTTAGCTTCTCCAGCCTGAACAATGGTACTTGCTTAGCCTTTGCTTTTTGGAACTGGAGGTTAAAATAGGCTCTAGGTAACAAGGCCAGTTCAAAATGCTGAATTTCTACCTTTAAAACTATTAGTTTCTTGGAGAGGTATTGACTTCTTGTATTGCAATTAAAAATTCAAACTTTGAGACCCCATAATATATTCTAACCATACTTTCAATAGTTTCTCTAGAACTAATAACCCATTATTCTGTGAATATAAATGAAATTTCTGATTTGAACTTTGCTTAGTTGAGATTTCCTTATGCTGTCTTCAGGGTCCAAATCATTAGCAGTGGCCATCCCTGTTAAGACACTGCCCTCATGCCATTACACATTCAGGTGGTGGGGCCACAGAGAGAGTTTAACAGTAGCTCCGATGCTTTCTCCCCACTGTTGTGCCTGATTGAGGAAACAAATGAAGGCAAGTTAGATGTACAGGATCTTAAAACGCTTGCCATCCGCATGGGCTACTTGCCACCACTGAACAGCTTCCTACTGAAGTCATTTCTCTTTATGAATTGCCCTCCTAACTCTTGATGCCAGCCTCTCCTCTTGAGCCTAGAGTGGAATGTATCTTAGAAATGGCTCTATACAGCTACAGAAAACAGACTATGAATTGTAATTTAGTGATAAAAAAACATCCTCACTGAATGAATCTATTTGATGTGGTTAGTGTGTGTTGAGACCATTTCCCATGGAAGTGGTAAACAAAATGGAGACATCACGGTCCATGTGATGTAGCTATAGGTGTCCATCTAGTAGACAAAAGCTACCGCCATGGGGTATGATTTTGGGCATTGACACTGGCTATACAACGACCAAATCCTATTGTCTTGGAAATTTAGGAACTGTTTGCTTCTCCTTATAGCTCCAATAAGTTCTTTTCCTGATTTAACTGCCCAAGTTGTTTGATGGTCTTACAGCTAAGACAAGACATGGAAGGTCCTGGGAACAGAGTTTCCAGCCCCTGGAAGTGGCATAGACATCAGCAACAGAGAACCAACAACTTGAAATGATTTTCTTGTTCAGCTTTTACTTCAGATGTTGCCTTGGGGTCAAGCAGCCTCACCTCGTTCATCTTAGAGGAAGGTCTCTAGGTCTGCCAGGTCTTTTCAGTTAAGGATGCTTTTAAGTTCAGATTACTGCACGCTTCGCAGGAGATTGGTCATCTGAGGACAAATTGCACTTATAATGTCTTGCTTAAAAATCTTTTTGTGACGTATTATTCATTATTTCTTGTATTTGACATTGATATCCCCTACAAATAAATCAGGAAAAGGCTTTCGTTTTTGTTGGTTGGGGGGTTGCCATTTGTTTTGAGATAGGGCTTCACTATGGGAATCAGGTTGCCTCAAAAATATGATCCTCCTGCCTCTCTGCCTCCCAAGTACTGGGATTGTAGGGCTATGCTACTGTACCATTTGAGGTTTTGTTTTGTTTTGTTTAATCCCAAATAAAGCAAAGATATACATAGATCTCCCCATGAAACGATCTTTGACTTATTAAGGAAAGTGTTTTCTGGGACAAGAACACTCTAATTTCTGAACATGGTTTGAACAACCCTAAAGAATCAGGGTGCGAAATGGCTTGAACAAATGGTATGAACAAAAAAACTAGACACCCAGCTTCAGCTGAAAAAAAAAAAAAACAAAAAACAAAACAACTAGATAAAACTTCGAAGCTTTGCTTGGTGTTGGGGACTTACAGACATGTGCAAATTGCCTTGTCTTTCATTGTTCATGGGAGTTTCTTGCTACAATACAAAATCAAAGTTCAGCCTAATGCAGAGAAAGAAGGGGCAGCCCCTGAGACACACGCGTACACCACAGGATTTGGGAATCCGTTCTACTCTTTGTAGTCCAAGTGGCACCAGGAAAGCTCAGGATTGGTCAGAATAGGCAGAAGCCACTGCTTTACATGTCAACTGCATTAATCTGTCACCCGGAGGGCCGGCTAAAGCACACAGTGTCTGGTTCCCATCCTCCCAGACTTTGACTCACAAGAATGTGTCTGTCTCTTGCTACTGTACTTCCCGTTAACTCAGGCACTACGGGGAGAGCCTTGGCCTTGAGACTCAATGCTCTGAGGGGATTCTGTTCCTCACAGCACTGAGAAACAGTTCAGCAGAAGCACTTTAAATCCACTGAAATGCTGTGTTTTTCTCACAGGTGCTGTTGGTCTGGCCTAGTTTTGGCTCTATCTGAGGGTGAGTGTTACCACGTTGTGACTGTAAAAGGTTAGCTGCACATGCCTGTGGCTCCCACCATCCCTGGAGGCCATGTGTGAGAGCGATGTCGCCTTCAAGTAGTGACAGTGATAGCAGCTTGGGAAGACCCCACATCAGTACACGATTCCCCACTGTGAGAGAGTGCCAGTGTACTTGGTCAAGTGTCTTGGGCCTGGGGTTTCTTCTCTCATCTTTAGGGTGCTGTTATTACCCCCATGTTATCAGTTGATGTCTGCTTAAAGGAACAATTTATTGAGAGACAATTTGGAGGGATTTAATAGTTCCAGGATCAGCTTTCTGAAAAGTACTGTGCCTAAAACCCCTGGGCCAGGTTTCACTTACCTTTTATGTCAAACACATAGAAAGCCAAAGATTGTTTTCTCTCTTTCTGAGAGGTGATGCTTGAATTCTATCATTGAGAAATAGTAATGTGAAATAAAAGTGCAAAGGAAAGAAA